AACATACCAGCAACAGTGTGTGTGCCAACCTTGTGAAGACTTCCAGGAAACGTCTGACCTCTGTCATTGCCAACAAAGGATATATAACAAAGTATTGACATGAACTTTTCATATTCACCAAATACTTATTTTCTACCATAATTTGCAAATAAATTCTTTACAAATCAGCCAATGTGATTGTCTGGATTTGTTTTTCTCATTTTGTCTCTCATAGTTGAGGTCTATCTATGATGCCAATTACAGGCCTCTCTCTCATCTTAAGTGGGAGAACTTGCACAATTGGTGGCTGACTAAATACTTTTTTGCCCCACTGTACCATGTATAGCACCCACCAACTGAGACGATAGATGACATTAATGGCAGAGAGACATTAGGCCATGTAGGGCAAACAACAAAGGGAACTATGGACCATGTAGGACATTCAGCTACAGGTCATGTGGGACACACAGTGTCAGGGACATTAAACCATGTAGGACACCCAGAAAGTTGGACATTAGGCTATATAGGGCACAGCGCAATAGGGACATTAGATCATGTATGGCACACAGTGATGGAGACATTAGACCTTGTAGCACAGGCAGTAACAGGGACATTAGGCCATGTAGGACCCACACCCAGTGAGTGGGACATTAGGCCAGGTAAATCATACAGCAATAGGAAATTTTAGTCATGTAGTACACAATGTAACAGGGACATAAAGCCACATAGGACACACATCGACATGGACATCTACCTTCTATAACACCCATTGAGAAGAACATTAGACATTATAGGATGCTCATGACCAGGGCTGTGGATAAGGGGGTACCACCAGTTCTCCTGTATGGGACCCAGGCCAGCTGGGGGGCCCAGGCAGCTGGATGAATCAGATGTGGGCAGTAGAGAGGATGATCGGCACAAATACAGGAATCAGTCCCCTGTTTGGTTCTCTCCGCAGCAGATGAAAGCTGGCTTCTTCTGCTCTACCTGTTGCTGGCTTTCAGCTGCTGTGGAGAGAGCCATACAGGGATCAAGTAAACTCCCCCCCTGCAGCACCTATCACCCTCCCTGTGCACCGTATGTTTCTTTCGCTGCCCAAGACCCCCCAGTGTTCCCCCACATTCTGCTGGCTTCCCTCCTTTCCTTCCGACTGGCAGCTGTAAGCAGACAATAGGATCTTTAAGGATGGAGTGTGGGGCGGAGGACTTGATAAATAAGTACATTTACCAGCCCTTTCCTTTCCTGAATGAAACACAATGGGTGATTGGTAGCAATCGCTCACTGTGTTCATTCAAAACTGAAGCCTAGTAACCTGTGTTTTTTGGGGGGCGGCCGTATGGAGCCCTGTGGTTTCTCCCAGCAGCCCTGCTAATGACAGAAACATTAGGCCGTGTAGAGTAAACAACAAAAGGAACTTTAGACCATGTAGGATACCCATAGATGGGGCATCAAGTCATTCAGAACATATAGTGACAAGAACATTAGACCATGTATGACACCAAGTTACATGATCACTAGGCCAAACACTGCAGGACACCCACTGAATGGGTCATTAGGTCATGTTAAATACATAATAATAGGGATATTGAGTCATGTATGATACTCCGTGTCAGGAGCTTTAAACAATGTTAGACAACCAACTGCATGAACATCTACTTGCATAACACCCACCAACAGGGACATTGGGCAATATAGGATGCCAATTACAGGGAGACTAAACAATGTAGAATGTCAATGACAGGGACATTAGATGATGTAATTAAGGAGATATCTGGTCATGTGAGACACACAGTGATAGCAACATTGGGTCATGTAGGACACCTAGCAACAGCAACTTTAGGTCATGTAGGACACCTAATGATGGAGACATTAAACCATGTAAGACCCCCCGGCAGCATAGACATCTATAAACCCCACCAGGGTCATTGGACAATATAGCATGCCAGTGACTGGGACATTACCATTAGGCTATCTAGATCACTCAACGACAGCAAAATTGAACCATGTAAAGCACCCATAGACAGGGACATCAGGTCTTGTAGGACACACAGTGGCAGAGACAATAAATCATGTAGGAGATTAAGCTACTGTGGCATTAGGCAATGTAGGACACCCAGCAACAGGGAGAGCAGACCATGTAGGACACCCAGTCACAGAAACATTAGGTCAAGTAGGACACCCAGCAACAGGGAGACCAGACCATGTCGGACACCCAGTGACAGAAACATAAGGTCAAGTAGGACACCCAGCAACAGGGAGACCAGGCCATATAGGACACCCAGTGACAGAAACATAAGGTCAACACTGCCCCTAACTACCTCACCTACCTGATTCCCAGGTACCACCCTACCCGTACCCTTCGCTCTTCACAGAACCTCCTTCTATCTTGCTCCCTGGTCTCCTCCTCCCACGCACGACTGCAAGACTTCTGCAGGTCTTCCCCCATCCTCTGGAACTCACTAGCCCAATCCATCAGACTGTCACCTTCCCTCCTCACCTTCAGGCGCTCCCTGAACACACCACCTCTTTAGGGAAGCCTACCCCACCCTCACCTAACAGCCGTTCTCCTTCATTCCTCCTACCACTCCATCCCCCACAGCCATTTCCTCCTGTACCACTACCCCTCCCTTCTAGATTGTAAACTCGAAAGAGTAGGGCCCTCTAACCCCTCGTGTGCTGTTTGTAGTTGTTGTACTGTTTCATGTATTGTCCCCCCCCTCTATTGTACAGCGCCTGAGCAAATCCTTTGGCGCTATATAAACTCGATGTAATAATATTAATAATAAGTAGGACACCCAGGAACAGGGAGACCAGACCATGTAGGACACCCAGTGACAGAAACATTAGGTCAAGTAGGACACCCAGCAACAGGGAGACCAGACCATGTAGGACACTCAGTTCCAGAAACATTAGGTCAAGTAGGACACCCAGCAACAGGGAGACCAGACCATATAGGACACCCAGTGACAGAAATATTAGGTCAATAAGGACACCCAGAAACAGGGAGACCAGACCATGTAGGACACCCAGTGACAGAAACATTAGGTCAAGTAGGACACCCAGCAACAGGGAGACCAGACCATGTAGGACACCCAGTGACAGAAACATTAGGTCAAGTAGGACACCCAGCAACAGGGAGACTAGACCATATAGGACACCCAGTGACAGAAATATTAGGTCAAGTAGGACACCCAGCAACAGGGAGACCAGACCATATAGGACACCCAGTGACAGAAATATTAGGTCAAGTAGGACACCCAACAACAGGGACATCTGATAATGTAAAACACCCAGTAACAGTGACATTAGGTCATGTAGGACAACCAGCGAAAGGGACCTTAGGCCATGTAGTTAACCCAGAAAGTTAGAATTAGACTGTAGAGGTCACATGATTTTACCTGTATATATGATGTTCTGAAGCTTTTCTCCTGACCTGGAAAGATGTAGACAGCTCCCTGATAATTGTCCTCATATGGGGCACCAACTGCCAGGTCTGGCAGCTGATCTCCAGTCAGGTCGAGCAGAACAGAGATGGCAGAACCAAATTGTCCCAAAGTTTGGCTGGAGTCACCCTGAAGGGTTTCCGGGCAGGAGATGGTGATAGTTTGAGCTGACCAGGTGACCTGAATCCAGAGACAGTGGAACTGTTATATATTGCTCTTATATACGAGAACCAAGAGACAGAACAGGGGCACTCAGCATTTTTTCAAGCCAGGAAGGTGGAATTGGGGTGGGAAAACAGGGCACACATATCCAATGCACACACGATATAGAATGTTGGCACTCATGAAAGTATAACTAAAGCATTTTTTTTTATCTTGGGTATAGTAAAGAGTGGTTAAAAACCATCTGTTTTTTCCATTTGTGTGCCATTGGGGAAATTTCCCTTAATTTTAATTCCTGAGTTGAAATCTCTCCAAGGTGAGGGATTTCCCTTCTTAGACAATTACACCCAACCGGGTGTCCTCACTGGATGATTTCCCGCTCTCTATTCCTGTTTTGATGACAACTCCAAATTTTAGATTTTGCCTCACATTCAGTTCTGGTGACAATGGTTACCAGGAAAAAGTTGGGGAGAATCTCCCAGTGAGATACATGCAGTACATCAATAAAAGACTGATAGGAGTTCTAACCTTTCCACTAGAGATGAGCGAAGTATTCAAAAATTCGATTCGGCGAATTCGAGGAACAAATTCGATTCGATGCGAATATATTCGCTGCGAATTTAACTTATAAAAAGGTGTTTCTAGGATTCAGAGAGCCTTTATATTAGTGCAGAACACTGTACCTTTAATTTAAATGCCCTTGGAGTCTGCTGGGGAAGAGAAATTACTGTCTTACAGCAGTATGACATGATGCAGATGAGTTGACCGTCGATCTTAGAATCACCGCACACTTCACTCATTTGGGCAGTCACGTTGCCAAAACCAGAGTGTGGAGCCCACAGTGTGGCGGTGGAGGGCAGCAGCAATGGGAGGCCATACAGCACCCTATGACAAAATGGAACCCACCAGCAGTGTGAGGAACCTGAAAAGTGGCACATGGCAGAGTGTGGCGATGGAGACAGCAGCAATGGGAGGCCGTACAGGGACGCATGAGACACTCTGGACCTGGCAGCAGCATGAGGAGGCGGTACAGGGGCCCATGACAGATTACGGGCCTGGCAGCAGCATGAGGAGCGCGAATCGGTACGGGGGCCCATGGCAGATTACGGGCAGGCCCCTGTACCTTTTAATTTTAAATGCCCCTGGCAGCAAGCCTTGGGAGGCCCGTAATCTGCCAGCACCCTATGACAAATGGGAACCCACCAGCAGTGTGAGGAGACCTGAAAGTGGCACATGGCAGAGTGTGGTGCCCGATGGCGATGGAGACAGCAGCAGCAATGAGAGGCCGTACAGGGGGACCCATGAGACACTCTGGACCTGGCAGCAGCAGCATGAGGAGGCGGTACAGGGGCCCATGGCAGATTTTACGGGCCTGGCAGCAGCAATGGGAGGCCCGTAATCTGCCAGTACCCTATGACAAATGGAACCCACCAGCAGTGTGAGGAGACCTGAAAGTGGCACATGGCAGAGGTCTCCCTGTGGCGATAGAGACAGCCCAGAGACAGCAGCAATGGGAGGCCGTACAGGGACCCCATGAGAGACTCTGGACCTGGCAGCAGCATGAGGACGAGGCAGTAAGTACAGGGGGCCATGACAGATTACGGGCCTGGCAGCAGCATGAGGATCGGTACGGGGGCCCATGGCAGATTACGGGCCTGGCAAGCAGCATGAAAGTCTGCAATGGGAGGCCCGTAATCTGCCAGCACCCTATGACAAAATGGAACCCACCAGCAGTGTGAGGAGGAGACCTGAAAGTGGGCACATGGCAGAGTGTGGCGATGGAGACCAGCAGCAATGGGGGCCGTACAGGGACCCATGAGACACTCTGGACCTGGCAGCAGCATGAGGAGTCGGTACGGGGGCCCATGCAGATTACGGGTCCTGGCAGCAGCAATGGGAGGCCCGTAATCTGCCCAGCACCCTATGACAAAATGGAACCCCCCAGCAGTTGTGAGGAGACCTGAAAGTGGCACATGGCAGAGTGTGGCGATGGAGACAGCAGCAATGGGAGGCCGTACAGGGACCCATGAGACACTCTGGACCTGGCAGCAGCATGAGGGAGGCGGTACAGGGGGCCCATGGCAGATTGCGGGGCCTGGCACCAGCAATGGGAGGCCGTAATCTGCCAGCACCCGTATTGACAAAATGGAAACCCTACCAGCAGTGTGAGGAGACCTGAAAGTGGCAAATGGGAGTAGAGTGGTGGCGATGGAGACAGCAGCAATGGGAGGCCGTACAGGGACCCATGAGAGACTCTGGACCTGGCAGTCAGCATGAGGAGGCGGTACAGGGGCCCATGGACAGATTACGATTGCCTGGCAGCAGCGAAACATTAGACGAGTCGTACGGGGGCCCATTTGCAGATCATACGGGCCTGGCAGCAGCAATGGGGAGGCCCTAATCTGCCAGCACCCTATGACAAAATGGAACCCACCAGCAGTGTAGGAGACATTGAAAGTGGCACATGCAGAGTTAACATGTTTTGGGGCATGATTCATGGCGGATTTAGTCAGTTGTGTCAGGAATACTGGTGGTTTGGAAATCCAGACTAATCCACGCCTGATTCATTTTCACAAACGTGGAGTCTCTCCACACTTTGGGTGGACAGTCGTGTCCTCCGCGGAGTTACAATACCTCCTGCCGCACTAAACACGCGCTCCGATGCCACGCTAACTGGCCGGGCGATGACAGCCTTTCAAGGGCAAATTCCAGCTAGTTGGGGCCAAAGGTCAAGTTTCGTTGCCAGTAGTCAAGGGGATTGTCTACCTCGGTTGACAGGGTGCTGTCCAAGTAGGCCCAAGCCTGTTGTTTGAGGTCCTGCTCCAGGTCCACCTGATGCTGCTGCTGCTTTCTGCTGCTAGGCGGCTGGTTAGTAGTTTTCCTCACTGCGCTGGTGAAGAAAGCTACTCATCATCGACTGCAGACTGAGGCAGCCGCTGCTGGGTGGAGCTGCCACTGCTCCTACCACCCCCACCCCTCCCCTGCTGCCATGGCAGCGGAACCGCGAGCGCGCACAGGGCCCACAGTGTCTGAGGAATCATGGACGTTGGCGCAGAAAGGCAGAGACCACAACTGACTACATAGGTGGTTTTTTTATAGTACGTTATTTTGGCCTCCCTCTCAGCAGGTGTGAAAAAGGCCACCATTTTATGAACGGTTTAGCGTAGGGTCGAACAAGGTGGACAGCCAAAAGTCATCCCTCTGTCTGATGGTTATTATTCGGCCTGTCGCTACAACAAGCAACCGAGCATGCTATGGGGCCATTTGTGCCAAGGAATGCGAGGGACTCCCTGGCCTCCATCTCCACAGCATACTGCCAACGATGCGTCTGGGTCCAACTCTGTCACCACCATCCTCCTCCTCCCGGTCTACCAGATGCTCCTGCCAACCCACTTTTAACTCTAATAATTCCTGTGCTCCACCATCTCCTGTCCCGCTTGAGTGGAAAAACCACCCATTTCACTCAATAATTCCTGAGCACCAATGTCCTCCGCTCTACCAGTCCTCGCTCTTTTCTTCCTTCCTGGCCCCACAGGGTCATGTGGCGTTGAGATCTGTGCTCACACGTCTACCGCACCCTGACCAGCCATTGTTAACAGCATTTGTTCCAGGACGTGCAACAGAGGAATGACGTCGACGTTCATCCCATAGTCCTGCCGACTCACGAATAGCGTGGCCTCCTCAAAGGGCCTGAGCAGCAGCAGGCATGGTGTCCCACGCATGAGCTGCCCAATGGCTGACATCGAAGTTTACACAGGGAGTACCTTTATCCGCTTGTAACATCAGAAATCGTGATGGCCTTTCGCTGTTCGTAAAGGCGGTCTAACATGTGTAGGGTGAATTCCCACCCTTGTTGCAACGGGGCGCAGATCGCAGTGGACGATGCTGTAGGAATTCCGGTATCCCGTGTTCGGTTTGCCGCCTTGCGCTGCACGGATGCTCAAGGAGCCCGGTGTGCTGCCAGCCTGTAGTTGTAGGAATGGCTGAAATGCATGGCAAGGTTTTACGGTAGACAGCTTTTTAAGGATGGTCTTGCAGTGGGATGGTGAATATTAGGAACAGGGACCGCTTGACAAACCAGATTGAACACGTGAGCCATGCATCGGCGCATGGCACAACCTTCCTTGACGCAGAGCAGACACCATGTTCTTTTCCGTTTGGTCGGTCAACATGGTGGTTCCGCTGATTTTTCAGTTTGCGCGGAGACAGCCATCTGTCGATTTCTCTGTTCATTACAACTCAGAAGTTCGCTCCCCTGTGTGACTACGTTCGGCCAAGCATACCAGGTGCCAGCACAGCGTGACACGTTGCCGCCCTGCACATGTGATATGCCTCGTCAGTAAATGGACTTGGCACGGGGTCAGTTCGTGGCGGCTGAGGACACGGCGGAAGAAGAGGTGGTAGAGGCGGACATACTTTTTGCTAGACCAAGGACGTGCAAACGTGGAGGCAAAAGCGGCGTGACCTGTCCAAGTTGCTGGTGCGGCTGTGTTCCGGCACCAACGTATCACACCCAGTGGCCGTAAAATGACATGTACTGGTCCCCTGACCGTAGTTACAGCGCCACACGTCGGCCATTCTGCTGTGCACTTTTGGCACGAGACCCGACATGCTCAACAGACTGGCCCAAAGACATCTCTTCTACATGTGAATGCAGGGCTGGCACTGCCTTTTTGGCGAAGAAATGCAGCTTGGCACACTCTCAAAATGTGGGGGGGGGGGGGGGGGGGGGGGGGGGGGGGGGAGGGGGGGGGGGGGGGGGGGGGGGTGGGGGGGGGGGGGGGGGGCCACACAGGGGCGCGGCACAATGGGGGGGGGAGATCAGAGAAATTCTCTGGACATGGGGGGGGGGGAGTCCATCCGCTGAATCTCGGCATGGGCAAAGTCCACTTGGAAAGGGAGGGAATCTGCAGCACCAGCAACTTGGACAGGAGGACGTTCAGCTTTTGCACCGTCGGGTGCGTGCTCGCAAACTGTTGTCTCTCTGGAAACGGATTCCAAGAAAAGACTGCTGACGGAATCCGTGAAGAGGAGTAGCAGAGAAGGACAACTGAACAAGGGCGGAGAAGATGCCAACGAGCGACAACTCCCCCTCAGCAGAGGTGTTGGAGCCTTGACTGGCTGATAGGAGGGCGATTGACGTCGGTGACGGAGCAAGAACGGCGGCGGAGCGGTGGTGTGATGGAGTGGGGGCTGGGCAGGCAGAACCGCCGTATCTTTATCATGTTTTCCCAGGCCATTGAATGGCGAGACGCTGCATATGCTAGAACGCAACACTGTAGTCCCAACATGGGCCCCCTGGCCACGCTTCTGAAGACTTTCTGCCCACATAGTCGACATACGGCTACGTTAACTTTTTGCCTCGGTACGGCTTGACGAAAAATTGCCACACCGCCGAGTAGGAAACTTTGCCCCCCGCTACTCCCTCACTGGCTGACTGCTACTTCCTCCGTGCACACCGCACCACTACTGGCCGTGGTGGTAGGCTGCAGTCAGTGGAGCTGGTGCTCTTAACTCCGTGGCCGTTTTGCCTCCACTGACACTGCTGCGACCCTGCTGCCTCCTGGCCAACCCACCGACTGTTTTTGCTCGCTGCCAAGCTGCCACCCTCTTCTCCTGATGATGCGGAAGAAATAGCCTGATGACGACGAGGCTGCCAAGTGCGATCAGCCTCATCATCATCAATTAGGGTCTCCGCCTCACTACTAGCCCCCTCGGCTGCGTGTGGGTCAGGAGACAGACCTGTCTCTCAGACCGGCTACCGAGCCACTCTCCTCGCCAGTACTTCTTCGCCTGGCTGCTGAAGAGGCGGATGTCTCCCCCCCGTTCCTGACCGCCCTCTGTTAGCTCTTCCTCACTGTACAGTGGGGCTGAGCCCACAGCATGCGATACTTTCGCTTGGTGAGGGAACACCAAAGGACAGGGGCAGGTAGAGGACACGTGATTTCAGTGGCCTTGCTCCCGGGCCATGCCAACTAACGGTTGTGTCTGACGTACCCACCGACCGTTGGCTGTAGGTGTCAGAGGTGACCTGGGAAGAGGAAGACGACCGAGCCAACCAATCGATGACGGCAGGGTTGTCGGTGGAGACACGACCGCTGGATGACACCGGGAGCACTGGCCTCTGGCTGCGACTAGTGCTGCCTTGACCCCTTCCTCTGCTGCCACGTCTGCTCGCTCCTAAAACATGGCCTCCTCTGACACTCCTCTGCGTGTTGTCTGACATACTCTTTAATTCAACGATTCTGTGTCCCTGAGTAAACGATTCTGTGTCCCTGAGTAACAGTTCTGTGTCCCTGAGTAACAATTCTGTGTCCCTGAGTAACAGTTCTGTGTCCCTGAGTAACAGTTCTGTGTCCCTGAGTAACAATTCTGTGTCCCTCAGTAACAATTCTGTGTCCCTCAGTAACAATTCTGTGTCTGTCCCTGAGTAACAATTCTGTGTCCCTCAGTAACAATTCTGTGTCCCTCAGTAACAATTCTGTGTCCCTCAGTAACAATTCTGTGTCTGTCCCTGAGTAACATTTCTGTGTCCCTCAGTAACAATTCTGTGTCCCTCAGTAACAATTCTGTGTCCCTCAGTAACAATTATGTGTCTGTCCCTGAGTAACAATTCTGTGTCCCTGAGTAACAGTTCTGTGTCCCTGAGTAACAATTCTGTGTCCCTGAGTAACAGTTCTGTGTCCCTGAGTAACAATTCTGTGTCCCTGAGTAACAATTCTGTGTCCCTCGTAACAATTCTGTGTCCCTCAGTAACAATTCTGTGTCCCTCAATAACAATTCTGTGTCCCTCAGTAACAATTCTGTGTCTGTCCCTGAGTAACAATTCTGTGTCCCTCAGTAACAATTCTGTGTCCCTCAGTAACAATTCTGTGTCTGTCCCTGAGTAACAATTCTGTGTCCTGAGTAACAGTTCTGTGTCCCTGAGTAACAATTCTGTGTCCCTGAGTAACAGTTCTGTGTCCCTGAGTAACAATTCTGTGTCCCTCAGTAACAATTCTGTGTCCCTCAGTAACAATTCTGTGTCCCTCAGTAACAATTCTGTGTCTGTCCCTGA